TACGCCTGTAATCCCTACATTCAGGAGGGTAAGGCAGGAGGATCTCTGTGAGTTCAAGGCCAGCCTGGGTTACATAATTGAGTTCAATACCAGCCTGCACTACATAGTGAGATCCTGTCTCAAAAGAAGAGGAAAGAGAGGGGGGGGGAGAGAGAGAGAGAGATAGAGAGAGACAAAGAAAGAAAGAAAGAAAGGAAGGAAGGAAGGAAGGAAGGAAGGAAGGAAGGAAGAAAGAAAGAAAGAAAGAAAGAAAGAAAGAAAGAAAGAAAGAAAGAAAGAAAGAAAGAAAAAGAAAAAGAAAAAGAAAACAAAGGTAGGAGTATAGGAAGGAAGTCTCACACACTGCTGCTTAACTTGCCAATTTTACAACACTGTGGAATATAATTTTGAATTACCTAGTAAGGGTGAAGAAATGCAAACACTTTTTAGCAATTGCACTCATAGGTTAAATCCTACATACACTCATGCACATTTGTCTCAATAAACATACACAAGAATGTTTAAAGTGCTGTGTGTACAAATAGTAACTCTGAACTTTGAACCATCTAAATGTCCCTCACAAGAAGAATGAGTTAATAAAGCATTGCATATTCATACCATCAGATGCCAAATAGCAATGAGAGTGAATAAAGTTGAACTTCATTAATGAATTTTACAAATATATAGTGCTGAAAAACCAAAACAAAAGAATCCATCCTGTATGATATAATTCCTACAAAAAAGACAATATATCAAACAATACATAATTATCATATTATGATAGTAGATTTCAAGTCGAAACTGATTAGAAGAGGCAAAGAATATCACTACATTTTGTTTAGGGAAAAAGTCAACAGAAAGAGATGACAATTATGGACACATATGCACCAAACTATAGCACACCTTACTACATAAAATGAGTACTACTGTACATAAAACATCATAAACATCATAGCACAATCATAAACATAATTATAGTTGGGGATATTAATATTCCACTGTCACAAATAGACTGATGAACCAGACAAAAACAATCAGCAAAGAAATATCAGTTGAACAAAACCTCCAAAACATGGATTTAATAACTACACTGTTCCATCCAACAATAGAATACGCGTTTTTCACAGTACAACATGAAACTCTCTCAAAAATACACCACATACTACCCCATAAAGCATGGTTATGTAAGTGCAAAAGAATCAAAATTATATCATTCATATTATCAGATCATAGTAGAAATCAATGGCAAAAGAAAACACAAAAATTATGTAAATGCATGAAAATTAAAGATACCATTAAATAATCAATAGGTTGCAAAAGAAATCAAGGAAGGAAAAAGACAGTGCTTAGAAATAAAAATTAATGCCAGAATGATATTCTAGGACTCACGGAACACAAAGAAAGTAGTCCTAACAGAGAAGTTTATAGATGTGAATGCCCACATCAGAAAAACAAAGAGAGCCCAAGTAAATAATGTAACAATGCACCTCAAGGTCCTAGAAAAACAAGAACAGTCCAAAACCAAAGTCAGGACAAGGAGGAAAATTATAAAGATTAGAGCAAAAATCAATGAAATTGAAACTAAATAATACAAAGAGTTGATAACGAAAGGGCTGGTTGTTTGAAAGAATAAACAAAGTAGACAAACCTTAGCCAATCTTAACCCCCAGCAAAAAAAGAATAGATCCAAGTCAATGCAATTAGAAATGAAAAAGTGAAATCACACCAGGCACTGCCAAAATCCAGATTATCAGCAACTACTGCATAAACTTGTACACCAATAAATTCAAGAATTCATAAGAAATGGATAGATTCCTTCACATGAATTACCAAAATTGAACCAAGGAAATATAAAAACCCTGAATAATCCAATAGGCAATGAAATTGAGCCCATACTTTTTAAAAAAAATCCTACCAACTAAGCAAAGCCCAGGTCTACATGGATTCACTAGTGAATTGTATAAGAACTTCAGGTACGATCTAATTCTGCTCAAGTGAAATTGAAAGTGAAGAAGGTCATTCTTGGGAGCTAACACTACCCTGATTCAAAAACCAGATAAAGATCTAACCAAAAAAGGGAACTTCAGTCCAATCTCTTTCATGAATACAGATGCAAAAATCCTCAGCAAGATACTGACAAACAGGATGCAATGAATTATCAAAAAGATCATATATCATGACCAAGTAGCCTTCATCCCAGGGATAAAAGGATGGTTGAATACATAAAATAAATGTAACAGATCACATAAACAGAAACAAGGACAAGAATCATCATATCAATAGATGCTGAAAAAGCCTTTAGCAAAAATCCAACACCAACTCAGTGTTTTTTATTAAACACTGAAGAAAATATGTATAGAAGGACATTACCTCATTCTCTCTTTTTTGGGGGGGGCAGGTACTGAGAATCAAACTCAGGACCTTGCTCTTGCCAGGCAGGCACTTATGCCACCGAGCTATATCCCCGGGCCCCATGATCTCATTCTAATAAAAACCATGTATGAAAAACCTACTACCAAAAGCATACTTAATGGGGAAAAACTGAAAAATTTATCTCCAAAATCAGGAATGAAAAAAAATCAGGAACCAGGTAAGGGGCTCCTGTATCACCAATCCTTTCAACATAATACTCAATACATTAGCAAGATCAATTAGACAAGAAAAAGAAATAAAAGTGATATTTAAAAGAAAAGAAAATGTCAAATTATCATTATTTGTGGGAGACATAACTTTCTCATAAGAGACCCCAAAAATTCAATCAACAGACTCCTAGAATTAATAACCAAATTCAGCAATATTGCAGAATATAAAACAACCTGCAAAAATCTAGTTTTTTAAAAAAAAAAATCTATAGCTTTGCTGTACACCAATAACGAATTTCACCAAGAAACTAAATAATAACAAATGTTAGTGAAGCTGGATAGGGATGGGGAGGAACTCTTCTACATGTTTGTGATGTAAACTAGTACAACCACTAAAGAAATTACCATGGAGATTCCTCAGAAAATGAAAAAAATAAGAATTCCTTTGACCTAGCTATTTCCTTTCCAGATATCTTTTTGAGAGAGTTAAAGAATGACATCATATTACAGTGATACATGCACAGCCATGTTTATAGCAGCCTACATGTCTGTTAATAGGTTAATGGATAAAGAAAATGTGATATTGACATACTATGAAGTACTATGCCATAAAGAAAGACAAACTTGAGGCATTTGTAGGTAAATGGATGCAATTTAAGACCATAAAATTGAGTGAAATAAGATAGACACACAAGTTTAATCATTGCATGGTTTCTCTTATATGAGAAAGACAAATTATAAATAAAGAACAAAATAAAAGATAGATAATAAGAGGTAGGGAGATAGATCTTTCTCAAACAGGAAGGGGATCAAGAGAGGTAGGGGAGCAGAAGGGGTTGAAAAAGAATTAAAATGTGTTATGCACATATACCAACTCCCTGCAAGAAATTTAATCATTGTTTAGGGGCTGGGGATTTAGCTCAGCAGCACAGCACCTGCCTGGCAAGTGCGAGGCTGTGAGTTTGATTCCCGGTACCAGAAAAAAAAACAAAAACAAAAACAAAAAAAAGAAAGAAAGAAAGAAAAAAAATTAATCATTGTGTATTGCAAGCATGTACTAATAAAAAAATTAAAACTACACACCTATAAGAATGTGAGGCAGAAGAAAGTGTCTGTGACATATGGATGCCCAAAGGCTTCTAAAGTGCTAGCAATATTCTCTGTTTTTCCATGGAGGCTTGTGCAACTGTCACATTTGTTGTATACATTTTTCTGTACATATATTTCAAAGTAAAAAGGATTAATTAAAAATACAGCCCAAATTAAAAATAATGCTCTCCATATTCCACTAACACTCTCCATGTCCACTAAATCAAATAATATACACAGCACTGGATAATTGGCTCCTTGTTTTATATAAGGCTTTAAGGAATTCACTGACAGAATTCTGCAGGTTAAACAACACTCCTTCAAATCTCTTGATATCTTTGTTTGCAAAGATTTCTAGGGTTTTTCTTGGGATCTTCTTGGGTTGTGTCTTTAGAAGCTAAAAGAAGCCCTCTGTTTCATCACCCTCTTTTGGCCTTTTCTTTTGAAATAAAATGACATTCTGATTTAAAGTCAACTTGTATTAATGGCAATGCTATGAAAATCAAGGGTATAACCATGAATTTCTGGTGTGTATATGTGTAATTTAGTGAATACTGTGTACTAGGCCTAATGTGACATTTATTTTATGACAAACTTTGGGTCTGTATTACAAACAAGGAAATAGAGGCAAGGAGTGGCTAAGAAACTTGCTAAAGCGATGAGGCTGGGTTCACATTCAGGTCTGGTGGATATTAGCCCGGAGTCTCCTTTTAAGCTCTTTACCAGCAGGTTACCCCATGCACACTCTCAGGTTCAGGTCCCCAGACAGCTTTGTCTCCATTTCTGCTGAAGACCTTATGCAGCATTTGATGGAGTGGGAAAACTAAGATTCTAGTTTCTGGAGGATTTTGAATAAAAATGCTATGGCAAATCTTTTTATAAAGTAAAGGATCAGCTACCAAGACATCAATTTTATAAACCTGTATATTACCATGCCTGGATTGGGTTTACTTGAAATAAACCCGTTATTCCTTTGCCATACAGTAGAGGGCGGCCTTCAACTGCTTTTAAAAAGTTGTCTATAAGTAGTTGCTGAATGGGTGTGTTCAACAGCATGAGAAGAAATGGCAAAGTTTTTTAAAATAGAAAGTAAAGTTTTTAAACTACAGGAAACTCAGCAAAGAACGAAAAAGGCTCCAGAAAACCAGTTAACTTGGTTTCACGAGTTATTTCTGAAAGGCAATAACACTTTAGTCGTTTCCTGACTTGCCTGCGTTTATTAGCTCTAAATGCATTTTAGTTTCACTTGTTGCGCAAACTCATTTTTCTTTGAGATTTTGTTCTTTCACTTCCACATTTTCTGAATTCATAAGTCGGTGCCTGAGGCACTGTGGAGACTCATCGAGTCTGGGTATCAGTTTACACGAAGCCTTCAGTAAATAATCGGCAGAGGTCCACCCATTCTCCTTTCCCGCTCCTCTTCCCCGGAGCAACCTCCCTGGTCTGGGAAACAGACTCTCCCAGGGCGGAGGCCCCGGAGCTCCCGCGCTGCGTCTCTAAACTAGGTTTGCTGAAACTTGCTTTCTGCCAACTAACAGCCATGCTCCGAGTGATTGTGGAATCTGCCAGTAATATCCCTAAAACGAAATTTGGGAAACCGGATCCTATCGTTTCTGTTATTTTTAAGGGTAAGGAAAAGTTTTCTTCTTTTTCTGAAGCCGTTTCGGAATGTTAGTTGCTTGGGTCATGTTCTTTAGAAGTCTGCATTTAGGCGACTGATAATGCCAAATCTGTCCAGCTTCTCTGGTTACCTGGCCAGGTCAGGGGAGAGGACTGATTGCCATGGAAGACACTTCGCGGTTCCCAGATCTTCGAGACCCAGTGAAAGACCTGCCGTTTTAGTTTTAACATGATTTCTCTAAATCATTAGAGAAAACATGTACTCACTAATCTCTTTAATTTTAGGTATCAAGAAGGTCTGTGTTGTTTCAAAGTGAGAGTCTCAATAATCTTGTTTGTATTTTAAAATTTTCTCTACCTGTGAGAAATGCGTAAAAGAGCAATTAAAGTGCTGGAGGCACCGATACTGTATTGAAATGGGCTTTTATTGTCACTGGGTTCTGGTAGTGAAATTAGGATTCTGAATGTAGTTTTGCTTTCCAGTTGTTTTGTGCCTTTTTTGAGATTTCATTTCTCTATATCTGAGCTTTCTCCTGTAAAGTAAGAAAGGAAGGTTTAGACTTTAATTGGTCTTTAAAGAACCCATTGTCATTCCAAGCAGTTTTTTATGACATTTGATTGTGATTGCACTGGAGGGAATGATGTGCCATATGAAGGCACACTCCCAGGTGAAGTAAGGGTTTTAACGTTGGCCCACCTGGTGCATCTGAATATGGGTTTAGGGGCTCTTTCCATTTTCTGTTTGTCCATGGTGATTGGTAAGACTGCCCCACCCCATCCCCACGCCCACCCCTACTCCCACCCCTGGCAGGGAGCAGGGGTGAGAGCGTGGCAGAATGAGCCAGGGCTTCTGCAGGCACATTTCCTAATTATGCCTTGGCACATTTTTCTCTTCTTCCAGGAACCTGGCTACTTCTACCTTACAGTTTCTGGATAATCTCTCCCTTTCTCCATTGTCCTCCCTACTTCTCTTCTCAAACCTCTGCTTCTTAAGGTGAGCAAGAAAATGAAAGAAATGAAAGCCAAAGCTGTCAAATGGTTGTTTAGTTTTGAAAACGAGAGACTGGAGGTTAAGATTTGTGTTTACAAAGGATGATGTGGTTTAAAAATCTGGCAAGTGAATATCTGGTAGTCATACTGCCTCAGAGTTCATTTGCATGTATTAGTTTTCTTTTAGTTTTTTTGTCCTTCAAGAAGTTGCACAATAGGGACATAACATGAAGTGCTTGCATCCTTTACATTGGCATGTACAGCAGTAGATTATAGAAGCCACAAAGCTTTATATAATTTTTCACTTCCTTGGAGTGCTTGCAGCTCCATGAATCAGCTCTGAATCTCAAGGCCAGGGGCCTGTGATAACCAGCCCCGGTGAAGTCCACAGACAGCCAAGCTGTGAAGCTGAATCTAGCAGGAATTAAATTACACAGACTTCTGAGACCTCTCTCAATGCTAAGGTATTATAATTCCCTAAAACAACCATTTTTAATTTAAAAGTTTTAAGTAATATAATATTTAAAAAGTAATGCATGTAAAATTAAAACAATCTAGAAGGGATTATACAACTAAAAAATAAGACTTCCAACCCCACCTTCCTACTTTCTCTCTCTTACTAGCTAGATATTCATCACTTTGAACACCTTGATTTAAATCTTTCCCATTCTTTTGCTATAGACATGCAAATTTGTTCTAGTCACTTCCAATAATGTCACAGTAGGTGTCCTGTAGTATATATCTTTTTGTGAATATGTGCATTTCCGAAGGACTGATTCTGTGAGAGTGTGTGTGTGTGTGTGTGTTTGAGACAGGGTTGACCTTGAACTCACTGTGATCCTCACGCCTCAGCCTACTGAGTGCTGGGATTATAGACAAGTACCACCATGCCCAGTTTTCCTTTATCGCTTTTGTATCAAATCTCTGGAAAGGGCTAAGTTCTCGTAGACTTTTATATTGTGACTTTACAATGTGAAAACATTACATTCAGACAAAACATCAATTCCAGCAGGGCACAGTTGCTGCCACTGTAGCAGTTTTCTTGTTCTCATTATGACTCTCCATTCTGTCTGCCAGAACTTACTGTCACTTTCTGCCTCGTGCAGATCTTTTCTTTTTTGTCTTGTTTTTTTGATGCTTTAATATACCTTTTATATACTTTTTTATTAGTACATGTTGGCAATACATTATAAATACAATGATCATGGAAGTTGGTTCATGATACATTTTCTATTGTAACCCAAGCTAAGAAAATATCCTGATTAAGGATGAACATCTAATTTTTTAACTTTTCTATGGAAATTTTATTTATTTATTTATTTATTTGCAGATCTTTTCTTTGTGGAATGGTTACTGCCACTGTTCAAATACTTGTTAGGTTATCACTTACTTCTGTTTCTTACTATTCTAGATCTTATTCTTTCATCTGGGAAGGGTTTTGGAGTACAAGCCTATATATTGCTGGATTCCTTCCCATTTGGCATAACAAACTTTGCAGCTTTGAATAAACTAGGTCACCTCCCTGAGAATCTTTCTTCTTTTAAATAATGGGGCAGGAATAGCTTATCTGAAAGGGAGTAAATCTGTGGAGATACCCAAAAGCTGTCTTTTATGCAATAGAAACTTGCCTATTTTCTTTTTTAGCAAGAATCATTTCACTACTTGAAGTTATTGATTTTTTTTCATTTTGGACATTAATACTAAGAATATTTTATATAGATATATATATGCACATATATTTAATTGCAAGTTGGGTTTTTTATTTTTTTAATGACAAATAGTAATTGTATATATTTATTTATGGGTACAATGTGACATTTCAATACATGTACATAATATGTAATGATCAAATTAGACTCAGTGGTATATATATCACCTCAGACATTTTTTTTTTGTTAGGAACATTCAAAATTTTAAGAATATTTTTGAAAAGATTCTTTCAAGCTTGTGTGTCAGATTTACATTATGGTCTCAAGGTGCATTGATTTTCCTGAAATGACTCAAGTTTATCCTTCTTTATGGCAGAGTAGTTGTACTTCATTGTGTATAAATACCATATTTCCTTTATCTGTCTATGGATGGACATTCATGCTGCTTCCAAGGTTTAGCAAATATGAATTGTGCTGCTATAAACATGGGCATACATGTATCACTGTAATATGATGTCTTTGACTTTTTCAAGAAGATACCTAGAAATGGAATTTCTATTTTTAGTTTTTTTGAGGAATCTCTGTACTGATTTTCGTAGTGGTTGGACTAGATTTCATTCCCATAGTTTCTATTATATGAGAAACCCAAAGTATAAACAAAGAACAAAATAAAAGATGGATAATAAGAGGTAGGGAGATAGATCTTTTTCAAAGGGGTAGAGATCAAGAGATGGAGGGAAGGAGAACAGGAGATGTAAAAAGGAATTAAGAGGTATCACATATGTGTACCAGCTCCACACAAGTGATGTGAACACTATGTACTGCAAACATGCCCTGAAAAAAAGAAGGGGATCAAGAGATGGATGAAGTGGTGGAAGAAAAGGGAAAAGGGGTGAAAAAAGAAATTAATATGCATTGTATATCTATCTGTACCAACTCCCCACAAAGAATACAAACATTATGCATTATAAATATTTATACTGATAAGAAAACAATCTGAAAAAAAGTCTCATTCAAATAACCACAAAAACTGTGAGATCCCATTAAAGAATGATGACACAGGATGGGAAGATCTCCTGGGCCTCACTCTCCATGGGCTGTGGAGGCACCATGTGACCTGTCCATACAGAAACTTGGTTCACCCAGTACACCCTAAGACTAGTCCAAAAACATCTCACCAGCTCAGATGATAGGCATGCCTTGTGGGTACACCAGTAGAACATAGCATTGTGTCAACAAAAGCTCAGAAGGGCAAGTGTTTAATCTACTGAGTCATTCCCATTACTTTCCTGGAACTGCTGGAGGACAGTGGTCCCACCCTGTGGAAGCATGAGAACTCACACAGGTACACTCCCCAAAGGCACATTCTGTGGCTCTCAGGCTTTTATAAAAGCCACAAATGTCTTTCAGAAATTAGTGTGCCTTGTCTTTCCTTTCTTCTTCTAAAACCTATCTTATCAACACATCATCATCCTGGGGGTATTGGCATTTTTCTGGTTTTGGTTTCTTTTCAGATTATTGGTGAGTCTCTCCATCCCCCTAAGATTTAGCCCTCCGAGAAGACAAGATATTTTTCTGTCTTGTGCAACATCTGACACATCACTGATGCTAAATATACATTTCCAATGTGGATCATGGAAGCAAAAAGCTGGCAGGAGATTAGAGTCATCTTGGTATAATAAAATCATTGATTTTTAGTCCTGAGGGAACCACAGGACATTGGTCAATCTCCTTTTGTTTAGGCAAAATCATACTGAATATTCTTTGAGATGCTTGTTGCATGAGGCTTGACAAGAAGCCGTGTCACCCATTTCTGACCCTTGCTATGCAGAGGCAAACTGGTGTCTGTCAGGCTGTTTGCATTCTTGTTCCTGGCAAGAAAAATGCAGTTACTGTTTTTGTGTGGAAAAGGTTCAATGATCTGTACTTAGAAGGCCATGGTATGGCCATAGTCACCTCTCTCACATGTTCTTCCTATTGAGCAGCTGTTCTGTTGAGCAGAGGTACACTTTGAACACAGTTTTCACTCTGAAATAGCTGGGGAACATCTGGCATCTTAAGTCTTATCAGATAACTTCTTATTAGCCCTTGGCTTTGGAGCGGGAAGTACCTGAAAGAGAATTCCACTTGCTACCTATTATGCCCTAATTATTAATATAAGCAAATAAAATCTCCAGCCTCAGTGTTTTTAGTAATATCTCCTGACTCTGCACATGGGAATCCTCAAATTCACTTCCTCATTTGACAGCAATGACTTTCATAGAGCCCTACAAAGCACCAGGCAGCACGTTGAGAACCAAGTCCAGAAAAGTATTTGTAACATGGTTTGATCTTCTAGGCATAGAACGACCAGGTAGAACACTGGAATA